AATCTGCAGTCTGAGCAAGTCCAGGCCTTGTCTTTCCAAGGGGAGAAAGTTAAGTTTTCAGTAGATACTCTCCTTTTATCATCCTACAGAGCCCCTTGCATTTTTCTTGCTCTCTGAATGTGCTCCCAAGAGCCAATAGGTCCAAATGAAAAAGCATACATAAGGCACTTCACAAAATTTAATTACTATAACAAATAAGACAATTAATACAACTTCTCCTCCTCCTCCTCCACCCAAATGATCTATTCTCAGTGTCTTCCATCGGGTGAACCCTGAGACAGCATTTCTCACAGCAACTGTCCTCTAGTTTACCACAGTAGAGAAACATCCTTGACTGTTTTGGTCTACAAAGACAGAAGAAAGCTATGTAGCCAGCCTGCTGCTGGGGTGCAGAAAGGCTGTCTCCAGGGCAAACTGTCATCTCACTGAGGCCTACTTTTCTCCGGTTCTGTTCTTCTTGATTCCTTGATAACTTTCTCAGTTTTAGACAATTGCTAGGAATTCCTGCCGGGGGCCATCTCCAGTTGTCCCGATTATATCTTGCCACTGGACCCAGATGACTAAGGAGGAGAAAGTGATGTTGGTGACCTTGCACAGCCCTCCCTCACTTAAATCTAATTCACTTGCAAGTCTTGGCAACATCTTCCTGAGGTCACCGTCCTCTTCAGTCCTCTTGGGGAACGAAGGACAAATAACAGCAACAACAACAATAACAACAACAACAACAACAACAACGAATTTCTCCCTCTTACCTAGACCTTTGGATTTGGTTATCTTGTGAATTCTGAATTAAACCTGTGGATTGGCTGGGCCGAATTACTTCCCCAGATCACAACTTGGACCTTGCCCTCCTTCCCCTAGGGGGGTTCTTTCCCTTGGGTCCTGTTAATTTCTTTTAACTTTAAGCATAGCTGGGTACTGTCTCCTGCTCTTCAGAGTGGAGGTTAAAAATGAACCTCTTCTGATGGGCACCACAGATCACAAGGGCCAGTTAGGTGATAGTTGGGCCTAACATTGCTGCCCCCTAAGTGAGGTAGCACACTTTGCAGCATTGCCTGCCTATAGGTGTGTAATCAATTCTCTGCGATGGTCGTGTAAGGATGTGTGTGGGGATTGTTTCTGCTATAGTTCTTTCTCAATACTCCTCCTCAGCCTCCAGATGGTATCCAGATTTACCAAGCATTCACTTTAGCCTGGATCCCAAGACCCAGTCATAGTTCTCTTTTGCAATTTCCATTTAAAAATAAGGAAACACATGAATCAAAATTATTTTTTCTTCCTTTGTGTTTGATTAGAACATAAATTCCTTGAGGGCAGGGACTCTTTTTTTTTTTTTTTTTTGCTTGTTTCTGTATCCCCAGTACTTAGCCCAGGCCGGGCACTTAGCAAATGTTTAATAAATGTTTGTTGACTGATGCAGATATGGGTAGCTACAATAACAGCTAACATTTAAATAGTGCTTTAAGGTTTGCAAAGTGCTCAGCCAATATGTATTTTTTTTTTTTACTACTTTCTTGTCGGTTGTTTTACTTTAACTCAAAGTCTGGGAAACCACACGTATTCCTGAATAAATATTGTCTGATGATGCTGATAATCAGTCTCCCACACCCTTTTTTGTTACTGGTAGAAGAGAAAATGCAAAGAATATGCATTCCAAGTAAGCCAAAATGGAACAGTAGACAAATAAGCTAATTTTTAAAAATAAGGTAGCCAGTTATCAAAATACAGCTGTTTTGAAGAAACTAGAAATCGATCCTCCTACAGGATGTCCTCTTTCCTTAAACAAAGGGATTAAGTACATTTTTGGAATGACCCAAAATGATACAATTTTGATAAGCACAATTTAGCTTCTTTCCTCAGGAGCCTAAACAGTTCTATGCACATTAAATTTCCATTTAGTCGCAATCCAAAAATATCAGTAAGTTCAAATAACCAGGATTTTTACAGACCTATAAAATGATAGTTTTCAGAAACAATTTTATTTCTTCATGAACACCCTCATATCCTCCAAAATCTTGAAATGGCTTTTCAGAAGATTATTAAAGAACTCTTCAATTATGCTCAGTTTTAGCGCTCAGTATATTTTGGTACTCTAAGTAGTTATTATTGTTTGTTCTTCATTCTTGAAAAGGACCACGGCATCAGAAAGGTGCTGCCATGATTTGCAAGTGAATTGCATTTAAGGGAGGGAGGGCTGTGCAAGGTCACCAGCCTCACTTTCTCCTCCAGAGCCATCTGGGTCCAGTGGCAAGATATAGATCAGGACGACTGGAGATGGCCCTGCTCTGATTATTTGACAGTCACATGGAGGGCAGTGGAAAGAGACTGTGAAGCCACAGACCTCTGCCAATAGCTATCTTGGTGACCTTAAATAGGTTACCAACCTCTCCAAGCCTCAGTTTTCTTATCAGCAAAGTGGTAATAATCCACTTTCCTTACACAATTAAGAAGGTAGTTATGCAAATTGAAATATGAGAAAATCAAATGTGTAAACCTTTCAAGCAGTAAAATACTTTAAACTATGAAGGATCTGTGATCTCATTAACGTGGGCCCCTTGCTGTTCTTTGGACAGGATAATCTAACCCCTAGCTCCTTTCATTTCCCCTGGCTGTCTCTCATTACTGGATGTCTTTCCCTTCTCACCTCTGCTTCCAGGCTCCCCTGATATCCTTCAAGTCTTAGTTAAAGTCCTATCTTCTGCAAGAAGGCTTTGCTAATCCTCCTTAATTTTAGCTCCTTCCTTCTGAGATTAAATCCAATTTATCATGTTTATATCTTGTTTGTACATTGCTATTTGCATGTTGTCTCTCCCATTAGACTGGAAACTCCTTGAGAACAGCAACTGGGGTCCCCCCCTTTCTTTATATCCCCATTACTTAGCATAGTGCCTGGCACATAGTAGGTGCTTAATTAATGCCTGTTGATTTGACTTGAATTGGGTTTTCTCTCTACTAGAACACATTGTGATTTATTTCCTCCTTGTAGTGTGTACCTTTTGTTCATGTTCTCTCATATTGAACATGCAGCAGGTCTTGTTAGTGGTTTTACATGTCATGAGTACCAGTGCAGCAGGCTGTCCATCCTTGTTATATAACTGGCCCACGTCCTTTTCCTGATCATATGTTTCTTGGATATTACTCTTATGCTCTTTCCTCTAGCTAGCCCATTTCCACTCATGTTAATGATAACAATGATACTAATAATAATGTTAGCTGAAATTTATATAGCATTTTAAGGTTTGTAAAGTACTTATTATTTTTATTCTCTGTATCTCCATTGTCCTTTGGTTCACCCATTACTTGGATTCTTCAGACTAATGTTTCAAAATTCGCAACAATACAACATGAAAAGTATAGGCCTGACACAGATGAAAGGTATTACCTTTATGATTAATTCTACAAAATTAGTAATTATCACAACCAAAATATTCAGTAAGCAAAACATTTGTTTCTGAATTATTCTGGGTATTAATTCACTCCCTAGCTCACTATCCTGTGATGTAGTTGGTAGCAGGTGACCCATAGGTTGGAAATTAAACCTCTAATTCTTAACTTGTTTCTGCACTTTGTTTGGTCATAGTTTTTGCTAGAAGTGAGCATCTCATTAATAGGTGTGAACAACCCCTAAACAATACTTGGCAATGTTAAAGGTAAGAGTTAACCATCTATACATTAGCTTTCCAAATTAGATAGGTGATTAACTACCACCATCATTATCAATAGCACTGTTTTATAGGATTTTTAGTGTTATAATTTTATATATAATGGTGACATAAAAATTATACATAGCATTAAGTAACAGTAATATAACAGCTTCTTGTTCTTGGATCCTCTTTCTGAAGAAACCAGTTTGTATCCAAACCTATCTGGGAAACATAACTGAGAAGTTCTGCTAGAGGAATTTAGATTCCAAGAAAAACCTAATGAGTCCTAATTCCTTTTCAGCAATTTTGAGTGATACAATTCTATCATTCATTACAAATGGATTGGCCAAAATATCTCACTCAAAAGAAATATGAATGAAGATAGACTATGCCAACTTTGAAGAAGCTCAGTTTCAGAAGACCTGGTGCACGATGCAAACTTTCACCCTTTGCTTTTACTTCTTGAGCAAAAAAGAACATTGAGATAGAAGGGGAGAAAAGCTAACAGTAACTCCTCAATTTGGGGAAAGGAAAATATTCTGAATCTCCAGTCATCAAAATTTGACAACAGGGAGGAAGATTATTAACCCTCTCTTCCCCTCCTCCTTTCTCCCATAAGAATAGGAAACACCACTACCACCACCACCACCACCACCACCTCCTCGTCCTCCTTCCCCCTCCTCCCCCTTCCCCTCCTTCTCCTCCTTTTCCCCCCTCCTCCTTTTCCTCCTCCTCCTCCTCCTTCTCCTCTTTCTCGTCCTCTTCCATCTACTCTTCCATCTCCCCCACCTCCACCGCAGGCTGTCCATGCCACCCCAATACAAAATACCGACACCGGCCTTCTCTTCTCTAGATTTCTTTCCTTTCCTTTCCCTCCTCTTTCCCTCCTCTTCCCCAACGGAGGAAAGGAGGGAGAGAGTTGGACTGAAATTGGAACGCTTTAGTCAAGTCAATCTGTCACCTAGGACAGACGCCCTGGGAAAGACGCTCCGGCTGCTTGCAGTCTCTCAGTAACCGGGACACTCTTCCCATTCCAGCCTTCTCCTCCAGACCGCGCCCCCCCCCCCCCCCCCCCCCCCCCCCCCCCCCCCCCCCCCCCCCCCCCCCCCCCCCCCCCCCCCCCCCCCCCCCCCCCCCCCCCCCCCCCCCCCCCCCCCCCCCCCCCCCCCCCCCCCCCCCCCCCCCCCCCCCCCCCCCCCCCCCAGTTCCCTGGTCCTCTTTGAGTTTGCACTTCCCATCTCAGGTCCAGGCTACACTCTGGGGTGGGGTACGATCGAGCCCTTAATTCGGGTCTCGTTTCTCTTCCCCGCTGCCTACTTTCCTAAGCCCGGCTCCGCTTCTGACCCGCAGAGCCCCTAGAGCGCCCCGGGCAGGTGGTGCAAACACCCCTGCTCTCCCGCGCCCCCTGCCGGAGGGAGAGGAGGAAAAGGAGGAGAAGAAAAAAAGAGGAGGAGAAAAGAGGAGGCTGCAAGGAGGGAGAGAGAGAAAGAGCAAGAGCCTGGGCGCCGAGGGGGAACTACTCGAGAGTTTGCCTGATGGTGCTGCCGCTACTGCCGCCGCCGCTGCCGCCTCCTCCACCAAGCGGGAGAGGAGGGGCGAAGAGACAGCTAGGCAGAAGCCTGGGTCCCCTGCTTCTCCTTCTGGCACTGGGACACACCTGGACCTACAGAGAGGAGTTTGAGGACAGCGACAGGTGAGCCCTGCCCTTGCCCCCCATGCTGGGACTGCTGAAGCCCCAGGACTGGCCCAGACAGCAAAAGCTGGCTGCGCTTCTACCACCGGAGGCGGTCGGCGCAGTGCCCGGCTCCGAACCGGCTCCCAGGCGGTCCCAGCCTGAACTTCCTTGATGCAGCGGGTGCCGGCCCTGCGCCCAGCACCCCGATTCTGCGGGTGCTCCACTCCAGTGTCTGTATTCCTTCCGCGCTGGGAGCGAGGGGAGCGGGCTTCGTATCCACTCAAATCCCTTTTGCGCTCCTGTCAGCGCGCTGGCTCGTCGGACCAAAGATTTAGATCTGGAAAGGACCTTAGAGGCCCTCAAGTTCAACCTCCCCTCATTTTATAGATAAAGGACTTGCCCAGGGTCACACAGCAAGTAGGTAGCAGAGCCTCCATTCAGATCCGGTCCTCCGATTCCGAATCCAGTGCTCTTTCCACAGCCTCTCTTCCTGACAGTGCTATAAGATCCCACGGTTTCTTCATCCGTAAAACTAGAGGATCGGATTGGGTTACTTCTAAGGTCCTTTCCAATTCGAAATCCTGTGAACTGCAGCCCCTTAGGTATAGGGGATCCTCCCAGCCTGCCCTCACTCCTCGGTACACTGAGGTTCCCTGAGCATCTCCAGACCCAGACTAAAGCAGGGTGTTCTTTCCAACTTTCTTCCAGAGAAGTCTGTTCAGAGAACAAGATAGCGACCACCAAGTATCCTTGTCTAAAATCTACCGGGGAACTCACCACATGTTTTAGGTAAGACAGCCCTTATTGATTAAAGTGAATGAAGGAGCTGAGGGGGAAGGAGGACCAGGTAAAGCGGAATTGGGGGTGGGAATGCAAAGGAAGAGATTCGGGATATCGCGGTTGTTTTGTGTGTCGTTTGGTATAAGCAGGAGGTCGATCGCGAGCTCACCTCTGTGAGTAGTTTCCTGTTATGTTTATCTGCGGTGCCTGGTTGGGGGCCAGAGTCAAGCCGCAGATGGGACTACTGGGGCTAGCGCCTATGAAGATCCCGAGAGTGTTTATCGCTATCCCGCATATTTGTGTGTGGTAGAGGTGGGGGCCCGAGCTGGGGAGGAAGCCGGATAAGGTTGAAAGTTTATGAAGTAAAGTTGATTTGGGCTTTGAATGTAAACACTGGGGCATGGGGAAGATGAATGGCTGCCTGAGCATTTGCTGTTTTGTTTTGAAAATCCAAAGTCAACAAAGGGAAAACACTAGGCACTTGGCTGTCTCTTGACCCTCTCCCCCGCTGGGACAGCCTCGCTCACTGTCTCTGCCTCTGAAGACAAGGTGATGGGGTGGGAAGGAGTGTGTGTGCTGGGGGCTGGGGGGCAACAGGACTGTCGGCTGCTATGTGTGTCGGCTGAATCTGGAAAACTTCAGGACTGTTGAAACAGCAAGAGGAGAAGCAGTTCATTGACTAGAAAGGTTGAGGGGAGGGATTGTCTCTGTTTAGGGTCTTGGAAATAGAAAGAGCTGAGTCTGCAAAAGCAAGACTTAGCAGGGTCTCTGTGATTGTACTTTCTTGCTAGGAGGCATTTGATTGTCCTGGACCAATGGAATTCTTTCTTACGTGACCCTGGAGTTGCTGTTAACGGAAGAGAAAGAAAATTACTTTGACTTGGAGAATCTAGCCTAATTCAGCATTCTCATGCAGAAATTAGAGGTCTTGATGAGCAGCAGATTGCAGTGAAATCTGCCACATGCCCTCTGGAGAATCTGAGACTCTGCATGCTAGGCTCCAGCTTTGGGCATGAAAGATACTGCTTTCCCCTCCTTTTCATCAGAAGATTAGCCCCATGGGTGCTTTTATTGGGGAGAGAGGAGAAAGACAAGTGGCCACGAAGGAAGATCTCTTTTCACTGTAAGACCAAACAAGCATCATCAAACATTTATTGAGTGCCTAGTATACCAAATTAATGCAGAGAACTATGTTTGGTATTGGGGTTAGAGAGTAAGAAATATAAGATACAGCCCCTGCCCTTGAGGAGCTTAGAGTCTAACAGGAAAGACAGAATACACAAATGAAAAGAAATGGGAGGCAAAGTAGCAGAACACTAAAGGGATGTGGAAGGAAGGAGATTTTCAAATCCCCCAAATCTGAAGCACACAGGAATGGTAATTTAACTTAGAAGTTACAGGCTATGTGTGTATCTTCTATTACCTGTCCTTTGATTCTTAATGAGGTTCTTGTCTTGTCCTGTTTTGTTTTGGGTTTTTTTTTGGTTAATATTTTTGAACATCAGTCATTTCCAGATACTGCTTCCTCCTCACAATTGAACCCTCCTCTGTATCAAAGAAAAACAGCTAAAGAAAAACAACTGACACAGAGACTGTGCTGACTATATGTTCAATATTTTGTGCTCTTGGTCCCTCCACCTCTCTGCTAAGAAAAGGAAAGTATATTCCATTATGTTTCCAGTTCCGTACCATTTTTGGTTTTTCAGTTAGAGAACAAATCCCTTTTCATTTACATTGTAATAGTTATTTTGTTTGTTGGTTTTCTGAATCTACTTGTTTCACTCTGCATAACCATACATCTTTTCCCATGTTGCTCCGAATTCTTTATATTTATAATTTCTAACTGTTATTCTTTATTTTTGATGAAAATGCAAAGAATTTACTAATTCAGTTCAATTTAAGAAATATTTATTAAGTGCTTACTAGATGTAAGGCACTTTGTTAGGCCCTGGGGAATAAAAAGATAACAAAACAGTTCCTGCCTTTGAGGAGCTTATATTCTAATAACACAATTATGACAAAATGATAATACATTTGTAAAATGCTTCTTGCTTTTAAATAATCTTACACATAATTTTTTTGGGCTCATTTTCTCCTCCACACAGCCCTGTCAGAGAGGGAAGGAAGGTATTATCTCTACTTGATAGACAATGAGGGATCTGAGGCAATCATGGTTGTGTTAATTTGTCCAGAATCAACCAGTTAGTGGCATTAAAGGTCATAACGATGACTCCCAGCACCAGGTTCTTTTCATTGGCCAATGTTGATGCTCATGAAATTGAACTTTATTAAAGACTTTTTTTAAAAAAACAAATCTATGGAGAAAGAACATTTCCCTACTGCTGCTTCAGTAAAGACTGTTTTGATGACATGTGACTTGGTATATGTAGTTTGCCTCTCTTTAGAGACTCTGGATGTTGGGTTCTATAGAAATTCACAATAGAGAAAATGTGTCGTATTTTAAAAGCCACTGTGGTTTATTGCTATGCCGAATTGATTTCATTTATTAAACTGACATATAAGTGGAGAGGCAGTGGGGGTAGTAGAAAGTGCTACACTTGGGGGGTCATGCAATCAAGGTGAAATTTCATCTTTTGTATTTTTTAGCTGTATGACCACTGAGGAATCACTTGACTTATTTGAACATTGGTGAAATGCAGATGACAATGCCTGTAGCACTTATCTTACAGGGTCATTGTGAGGTTCAGATGACATGATATATGTAAAACACTACATAAATGGCAGTTATGATTTCATATCCTCCTTTAAAGAAAGTATTTGGAAGCTTGTATTTTCCTTTACATGGGGATCTCAACAAATGTAAGTTTTATTCTTATTTTTTTAAAATAAGGGCAGTTTAATTAATTGATCAATTATAGGCATGTATTTACGAATCATTCTATTAACTATCAATCAAAAAAACCCTTTAGAAGGCATGGCAACTTAACATTTTTTTTTAAAGAGTGAAGGCAAATGGAAGATATAGTGGAGGAGTTCTGGTTTGAGAATATCATCTGGATTACCTCAAAGTAATAGGGGTCTTTGTGGATACACTTAAGATTTTCTACTTAGTATGCACCATCTTTCCTTATTGAGGATGAGAGCATCTCTATATTTGTTTCATGGCTATGATGTAACTTATTTCCCCCCCTCTATTTCCCAACCTCTTTGATTCTAAAGCAATGGTTTTTAATTTAGAGTGCATGAACTTGTTTTCACAAAACATTTTGATAACTATCCCAATAGAATTTGTTTGTTTTGTAATTCAACATATTTTATTTTATGCATTTAAGTACATGATTCCAAGAAGGGGTCCACAGCCTTTACTAGACTGCCAAAGGGGTCCATTATACAAAAAAACAAACAAACTAATAATTCCTGCCTTAGAGATAGATATTCAAATTTGATTTCAACTGAAAGTGTCCAAAATGAAATGTTTTTTAAAAGCATTTAGTCAAATAGATGGTACAATTGGAAGTGTTGGATTTGGGCTTGTCTCAAATACCTACTAGCAATGTGATCCAGGACAAATCACAATTTCTGTCTCAGTTTTTCCATCTGTAAAATGGGAATAACTATAGTACCTACTCTACTTCACAGGGTTGTTGTGAGGATTAAATGAGATAACATGTGAAATGCTTTGCAAACTTTGAAGTGCTAGATAAAAGGACTTGGCTTGGGTTTGTGGATAATATCTTTATATTGGTCCTACAGAGCAAGGGTGTATATAGGGTGCAATTCAAAATATTTTGAAGGGGTCTCAGCAGAGTCTAGAGACCCCTGAAAATGAAAAAACAAATCATTGTACCACATTAGGCTAAGAGTCAAGATTCAATGATACTAAACACTTCAATCCCTAAATTCTGCTTAAGGCAGGTTTAAGTAACTTAGGCAGCACCATTGTGCAGAGAGAACCTTATTATCTTCTCAAAGATATTTTGGGAAAGAGTTTCCAATGCAAGTGAGAATTTTGTGCAAGTCCTTTCCATGTCTCAGTTTCCTCATCTGTAAAATGAGGAAGTTAGACTAGAAGCCTCAGGTCCCTTCCAGTGTTAACATCCTGTGAATCTTTTGAAGTTGTTTGGAGCTTGGAGGAGAAAGTACCTTAGGATAAAATTTTACTTCTTGTTATAGAGAATGGGTTAAAGACCAGTGAGTGTGTGGACCAGAGTTTTAGGGCATTGTTTCCTGGCCATAGGTCCATGACAAATGTTTACCAGTCCACAAAACTTTTACTACCAAGAGTCCTTGCTTTTTTAAAGCCTATAAATCGACTTCTTTTTCTTCCTTTCCTTCTCCCCATATCCTACTCCTCCAAATCCTGAATCCTTCCCGCCCTGCTCCCGGTTCCTTGTTCTGCCTCCATAAGCTTGCAAGAACTATTTGGTGGATGGTCACACAGTAGAGTTATAGTGAAGTTCATTGTTGTTGTTCAGTCATTTCAATCATGTTTGACTCTTCGTGACCCCATTTGGGGTTTTCTTGGCAGGTATTAGAGTGGTTTGTCATTTCCTTAGAGATTGAGAAACTGAGGCAAACAGCATTGAGTGACTTGCCCACGGTCACACAGCCATTAAGTGTCTGAGGCCAGATTTGAACTCAGGAAGATGAGTCGTCTTGACTTTAGGCCAGGCACTTTATCCACCATGCCACCTAGCTGCCCTACAGTAAGGCTAGGTAATAATAATAACTTCTCACATTTGCACAGTGTTTTAAGGTAGCATTTTCCTTATAATCCTGAAATATAGGTAGTTGGGGACGTTTTATTTTAAGAATGAGGAAATTAAAACTCAAAGAACTTGAATGCCTTCCTCTAACTAGTAACTGTGCAGGCCAGGATTATAACACCAATCTTCTGTCTCTATATCTCATACTTTTTTTGGTGAGGTAATCAGGGTAAAGTGACTTGCCCAGGATCACACAGTTAGTAAGTGTCAAGTGTCTGAGGCCAGATTTGAACTCAAGTCCTCCTGAGTCCAAGGCTGGAGCTCTATCCACTGCGCCACCTA